AAAGATGGCCCTATAATTGTACTACCTACATAAAGTAATATAATAAATAAATAAATAATAGATATACATATATATTTTTAATACATAATATATGAATAACTATTTCTGCATTTATTAATTATACATATTTATAGAACCAAATTACCTGTTAAAATCCATTGGTAAGTTACATAAAGCCATGAAATATTATTATTTAGTTTCCTGGTTTCCCTTGATGTATTTAGTAAATCAAAAATGTTAGCCATGGTTGATGGAATCCATCGCCGACGTTGAATATAAAACTCTTCAAATGATTCTGGAGCATGTGTATAAGCGTCACTAGCTGCACAATATTCCACCTAATTGAATGAAACAAATGAAGAAAGGTATTTATAATAAATTAATAAAGCATTTTTTAAATCTAATTCCTTATTTTTTAGAAAAATAATTAATTTTTTTAAAATTATGATTTGAAGTGTAATATAGGTATAAATATACATTTTCTTACTTTACAACCAGCTTGTAAAATTAGTGTACAAAGCCATCGATCTTCTCCTTGATCATACTGAATATAATGTTTTGGTTCAGTTGACCTTATTGCATATTTAGCTATAACATTATGTTGCATTAAAGCTTTTGCTCTGAACAGAGAAAAACAACCTGGACTGCAAAGAACAGAGCCTATTGTGTGTTCTGTTGACTTCTGAAGCCAATGCCCAATAGCATATTCAAATTTCTGCAACCAAATCATGGGACCTACATATGAAAATATATTTTTAAAACTATATTACAAAATACTTTAATTTATTAATTTTTAATAAATTTTAAAATAAATTTAGGAGAAATAAGAATATATTTCATATGTTAAATTTTTATGTCAAACTTAGATATCTATGGAGGTACCTTTTCCTATGGGATGTATTCTTCCACAAGCTGCACCTAATTCCTTATTTTTCTTCATCAAATCTAGCAATGCTTTAACAGCTGTTGGTCGAAAATCAACATCTCCATCTAGTGTTAGAATGTAAGTATTTTCTGCTATTAATTCTTTAGTGTCAAAATCTGTTGATGAGTTCATGAAACAATAACCAAGAAGATAATACATATACATGACCTAAAATATATCAGTAATTAGTACAAAATAAAAAGATATAATTTATGTATTTAAGAAAGAACCTATTTGAATTAAATTTATAGAAATATAATTTTGTCTCATATTAAGAGTAATATGATTAAGTACACCTGACTCCATCGTTTTCTGTGTCTGATTTTATTTTTATCTTTAAGATGTACTGTTAAACGTGTTTTTCCTGGTAAATTCCAAACTAGTTGACCACCATAAGGAGTTGGATATTTAGTTGGTGGTAAATCAAGTATACCAAGATTTTTTATGTTTTCCTGCATTGATTCCACAAATGTTGCTACATATTCATTTATGCATACTTCACTTTCTTTATGGTTACAAGATCCAATACAACCATGCATACAACAAAATGCATCATCAAACATTACATGTGCTGAAACAGTTCATATGTCATTTTTATTTAATACTTTAAAGATTTTAATTGAAATATACTATATGTCTTGCATAATTAATTATAAGTATGCTATTTACTTTCAAGTTCATAGTAGTCATTAATAGAAATCTTATAATACTTCTGTGTAACTTTCATGGCACAGTGATCTTTATCTAATCTTAAAATACTTCCAATCAATTCGTTCATTTCTTTTTTATTTTCGTGCCACATAGTTGCACAAACATAAATTACAGGGACATAAGCATTTCTTTTGTTATTTATAGTGTTTTGAGAAAGTGTGGAATTAGGATTACTAAAATCACATATTTCGTTTGAATTGCTACTCTGAAATAAAAGTTTCAGCTAGAAAGCAGCAGTTAAACAAACTTTCATTTTGAAATACTAAACAAAGTAAAACCTCAAATTCTGTAATAGAGTCTGAAGATTCTTCTACTTCTTCAACAACATGATAATTTTCATGTCTCCTCTTATTTAATCCTAAGAATTGATCAATTAGGAATGCATCATAACTAGGATGATAGAAAATTTTCTCTATAGGTGCAAGTCTTTCCTTTTCACCTAACCAGATTTGTACTGTAATCCAAATCTGTGATAACCACCATATTATCCAGCACCAGATATGCCAGTTTAAAAGAAACTCTGTCATACTATTATATTTAGGTGTATTTAAGAATAAATAATCTGGTATTAAATTATGAAATGCACACGAATCTTCTTCTCTTGATACACAAAATATCATTATTAATAAGATCGTCCCTGGAGTAATTAAACTTATTGGCAGGGCAAAGCCAAACTTATGCATTTGAGTTTTATATGCAATTATTGCTGTAAAGGTATTAAACAATTTTTAGAATTATACAAGATAAAATAAAAAAAATCATTACAATATATAATTTATTATTATCATATTTATAGTAAAAATGTATGCCTTACCTACTTGATATATGACAAAAGCACAAAATATTTGTAATAAAAAGGTATACAGGGGTGCAGAAGTAGTATCTATAATAGTATCTGTAATATTATATTTATTTGATAGTTTGATTAATTCTATGTTATATTCATTCTGTCCCAAAAATTCAAAAAATTCTTGTATATGGATTTCTTTAAAAGTTGAAATCACTATAGTACTTGAAATAAAGATTAAACATCTCCATAATGCTATATATCCTTGTAATACATTGCAATTATTTGATAAATCTATTTTATTTTTTGCTAATAAATTTATGAAACCTAAATAAAAAATTATATTTTTTTAAAAAGTTGTAAATTAGAAAAAACATGTCAGAAGATATAATAGATTTAAATTATGCACAAATTTTACCACAATAACTATTGTGTGTCACATAATTATACCACCAACGAGAAGAAGATAACAGAAGTGATATAGGAAGAATCCATGTTAGAGGATGTTGTATATAATTCAGAAAGGAATATAAAACTGTTCCTGAACCTTGAACAATTACTGCTAAAACATTGGATGCTAGGACTACTATAAATATCTTAGTTGCTCTTATGTATTTGTGATATTGTATAAATAAATCTGTAATAATAGTATAAATTTGTTAACTATATTTTTCATAACTAATTTACAAATAGATTTACTTACTTAAAATGGTAGGAATAAAACAAATACAACTACAGATTGCAGCAACATCCACAGAATTAAGCTGTGGAAGACAATAGAAAATTAATGATGCAACACCAATTGACTGAATTGTTTCCAAAACAAAAAGAATTATAATAGCTTCTTTTGGAGGCAATTTTTCTTTCTTTTTGAAAAGAAAATACCATATTGCATAAAGTATTGTGAAACACTCTGGTATGAGGAACATAGAAATAATATACCATGTCCAAATTATTTTGCCTTTTTTGGAAATCCTTGCTTCCAGTTCTTCTTGATATTCTACAACATTAAATGTTACTGAAATAGTACCCTTATTTGTATAAAATGTAAAATTTATATTAAAAAAGAGTTACATGTAAATATATTATGAACATAATTGTAATGAAATTTATAATTTTAAGTAACTATAAGCACAATTATAAACTTATAATGATATAAATTAATGAAGATAAATATTAAATAAATTACCTGAATAATAATCACAGAACTGTATAGACTTTTCATCTTTGAGCTGTGATAGAGCAAAAATGACTACAAATTTAGAGATTAAACCAGTACAAAGGACAATACAGAAAAATATACCATATACAAATACTTTAATAATTTGCATAGAAATATCCAACCATTTTTTATTTTGCATAGATGCACTTTCCTTTTTTATTGGAAAATATTTAAATATATCCCAAAATGTATTTGATGAACTTGGAAGCCTACAATTAAGTGAGTAAATTCAGTAAGGTAACTATTAATAAAGTAGACATTTTTTAAACACATATTAAATTATGATATTATAACGTAGATTACTCGAAATTTTTTTAGACTTTTACATACTTGAAACTTTTAAATTATATATATAAATAAAATGATGAATCCTTACGAATTTTGCGACGTATTTTCATCTTCATATTCCGAAAAATCATCGTTAGAATATTGAAATTCATATGAAGGTTCTAAACTATTGTCTTTCGACGATGACATGCTGCAAGAATAAAACTTACTAATAAGTTTAGTCATTGATGTGTCACCAATAGCCCAAATTTTCATTGGCATATCAATTAATATACTGATAAAATTGATAAGATTTCAAATTTGTCAAGGGTTTTCTACATTATCTGTGATCTAGGAGATCAAGGAGATAGAGAAACAAGTAAGTTATAGTAATGTTCTATTTTTTCTAAGACGATATTTAGGTTTATTAAGAAATGAATTTTGGTCAACAGAATTCATTGTTATTTATTATTAGCCTAGTGTGTTATATGAAATGGAGTAGAATCATTAAATGATATATTTTACGCCTAAAAATAGATGAATGTAAAAATATTATTTTACTAGAAGAAACATCAGTTGATATTTTTACTTATCATTTTTTATTTAGTAATATGCATTAAAAATGTTTCAGATATGAACATAAGAATGAATAAATTAGGATCTTTATGCAACAATGAACTGTTTCAAAACTTTATTTTCTTAATAATAATTATTGTTAGACTGCGTATATTTATGCAAATTCGCGTTTTTATGATTATAAGTAAAAACATAGAACATATATAGAAAAATTGTTTTATTCATTAGATATCGTAAGAAGTAATATATATTTGATATTTTATATATTTTTTATATTACATAAATGTTGAGCATTTTTGCATCTTAAAATTTCCTATAAATGCATCAAAATCCGCAGTCTAGTAATTATATTCTCTAATCAGTTTTATTCATTTAATAACAAATTGTAAAAATTTATAAAAATGATAGCGAAGATTGAAAGCAAGTATATGAGCAATACATTCAAACAAGATTTTAATTTTACCGCTGCCATAAAGTTGAAATCATATCGAATTCTGAGTCGTAACATTCGATAAGAAATAATCGATAATGAATGGATTTCGTAGCACTTTTCACGAGATAGGTTCCTATCTGTGAATTACGCTTTGTGCTTCATTTGTCAATAATCGAGGATAAAGTTAAATGCCGGATTAATTCCTTCGGCATAATCTAAGCGAGTTCGAAAAGGAAAAGAGAAATCCTGAAGCGATGTGGCGTGCCCCGAAGTTGGCTCTCCGGGCCGAAGTCTTCTTTGTTCAAATGAAAGTATTAATACCGAAGGTTGAATCGGTTTAACCGCGGAATACCTTCTTTGAGTACTTTTTAAGTACTTTTCTCTGAAATTATACGTCTTCTTCAGGGGTGAATTTCCCCTCCGATATTTCGTTTTTTTTTCAAAAATGGCATCACAGAGTCAAAATGCTATGAATGTAAGTTCGAGTGTTTCACCGGCGAATGGATCATCCGGATCGTCGACGACCATCTCGGTCTGCACTACGAAGATGCAGTCTCTTACTTCTACACCATCCTCACAATCCTATCAACAACACTCGTCTCCATCGTCGTCACCATCGCCGTCGCCGTCACCGATGCAGCAACAGCATCAACAGACTCTACAACAACCTAACAATATAGAGGCAATTGATAAGAATTCCTCCAATACATTAAAAGTATGTATACATATAGTTATATGTATTTAGAAATACTTCTGTTTGAAGAAAATAATCTATCATGCAGATTATATGTTCATTGATAATAATTTTTTACATTTCTTTTGTAGCGTAATCCAAAAATGGAATTAAGCAAAACTGATTTATTAAAACTATTAGGGCATCTTGAAGGAGAATTGCAGGCAAGAGATATTGTAATAGCAGTATTAAAGGTAATTTATTTTTCATTAATGGAAGCATTTTTATAATTAACATTAACCGTTATAGTAACAATATGATATTGAATATTTAAGACATAAATAGGTTTTTTGTGTATTTTATAGTCAGAAAAATTGAAACATCTATTAAATACTCGATATCTGAGTGGGACATCAGATCCACATGCTGCACTTGCACGTGATATTGTATTAGTAGGTAGTGTCAGTGAACATGAACCAAATCAAATAAATAAACAAGTTGCTACTTTAGAAGCACTTGTGACACAACAAAGATGTATGCAGTTTAAAATGGCCAAAGTTCTTAAAGAAGCAGAGCTTAGGCATAGAGCAGTATGTATATCATATTTGGTTACTTAAATAACAATGAATATTGTAAATTGTATATTCATACTTAGTTTACTTCAGGTTATCAAGGAATTAGAAGAAGAAAAACGAAAACATGAACATGATACTGCCCAGGGTGACGATATTACATATGGCTTGGAAAAAGAAAGGACACGATTGAAAAAAGAATTAGAATTAGAGAAACAAGAAAAAAAAAGACTGGAATTAGAATTAAAGAAAGCAAATGAAACTTTAGAGGAAGAAAAAACTCGACAGAAGCAAATAGTACTTCTTCTACTTGCTGAACGCAAAAAGATAATTATGAAGTATATAGAAGAAAGGAAAAGATCAGAAGATTTGGCACAGATATTAAGCGAAGAAAAAGTTCGGATAGATTCTATGGCTGAAGGACTCGAAGAGGAAAGTAAAAAGTCGTTACAAATGGAAGCAGAATTGGAGAAACAACTTGCGCAATTTGACATGGAAAGACAGCAATATAAACAAGCCTTAGCAAAAGAAGAAAAGAGGGCTAAAGATCTCGAATTAGAATTAGATAAACTTAGAACTGAAATGGATGTATGGAAAGAGTCTCAAACACGAGGTTCTCCAAGAGGTGTGGGTGCAACTCCACCACCACCCCCAGCCAAACCAGTTAATTTAGTTGTTATGCCTACAGTTAAACCTGCTAGTGCACCACAAACAAGTATGTTGTGCATAATAATTAAAATGTTACAGTTACATACATAAATAGAACTTATTTTAGTAAGCACTAATAGCAAGCAAATAATATTCTCAATATCTATTATGATGTTGAATACTGATAATATTGTTGAATATTTTTATAATTACATCTTATGTGCAGTTAAAGGTACAGTGCTGGGTACTGGGACTCCAATGGTTAGTAGTAAAGTTGTTCAGCCCACTGCCACGGTATCTAGTGTTCCTGTCAGCGGTCCAAGTAAGAACAGCAGTTATCCTAAAGTTGAAATAGGATATAATCAAATTAAAATATTTTGGATATATTTTCTCTAAGAGAATTTTTATATTGCATGACAGTGGATGAATTAATAAATTACATTTTGACTGTTAATTGAAAAAGGAATGGTAATTATAGCTTTTGCTCATAAGTGTAATGCACCTGATATTGATATGAATTTGTTATTTCTACTTATTTGATGTTGATGCGATAATTTATAATTTAATGCTGGTTCAGACTGATACAGGGTTAATACAATAAATAATTTATATTTAAGATTTTATTCTAAAGATTACATAAAACTAAACAATTCGTGCTGATACTTTGGGAATAATATTATACATTATATTTTTAATTGTATTTCAATATTTTGAATATAGGTATTTTAAAGTAGTGAAATAACACTTATACTAATTTCTTTGTAGCTACTGGGATTGCTAGGTCAGTAACTCCTGGGCAGGCATTACGCGGCGTCACGTACACGTCCAACATTACATCTTCTACTGGAGAAACTGCGGCGTCTTCTGAAAATCAGGTAAATTATCCCCATTTTCCTTCACATTCTACTTTAATTTGAAAATATTATACAGTACACATTTATGCATATACTTGTAAAAAATCATTTTTCATAATATAGCTTTCATAATATTAAAATCTTTCATATTTTCATTTCAATCAATTATGTTGATTTTTAAAACACCACTATGTTTTATGCATCTAATTTGTATGAAAATTTTACAGAATATACAAAAGCAACATAATAATATGTTACTAGAATGGAAACATTTGAACAGTATATTGCTTGTATGTAATTTCAAAAGAAATTATTTTAAAAGTAAAATTTATTAATAAAAATAAATTATTGATCTTTGTATGTGATTTAAAAAGAAATACATTAATTTAATGCTGTTTAAAAATTAACTGCTTCATAATATAAGCATATAAGCATGATAATTTTGTATCCATAATTTATGTTAAATTTTATTTTGCTAAGAAATGAATAGAACACCAAAATACATAAATTAATTTATGAATATATAAATTATACTTATAAAAGTGACCGTACAAGCAAAAATTTAAGTGTTAAATATTGTTATTATTATTATCGTTATGATTATTAATGATAACAAAAGTGCTTCTAAAAATAATCAAAATATGATTGAATTAATCTATTAGGTTTAATAATATTATATGATATTATTTTATATGTGTATCATAATCAAATAGGATTTTCTAGTCTTATATTTTGTTCAGGTTGAATGTTATATAGAATAATTTTATTGTATGATTATTGCATGATAATGATAAATATAAATATGTCTTATCATCTTGTTATAGAACGCACAGTTATTGCGTATTTTTTGACTTTTTGTATTATTTCTAATGAATCAGTGTAACAAACAGAAACTGCTTTGGGGTAAAATTGGTTTATTTCTTCTTCTAACACGTACGTAAGTTACTGATCGTACTTACTATAATGACATGAAAAGCAATCAATATAATTGCTAAGCTAGAAAAACAATCGATGTATATATTTAAAATAATAATATGAACAATAGATATTTTCTATATTTTTATATAAAAAACAAATGTAAGATGTAAAATACACAAAATATTATTGCAAAGCAGAAAATAAAGGTGTTCATACACGCACAGTAAGTTATAAGTATACATATGAATATTAATGTTGCATGCACACATCTTGCAGATGCGTTGCATGTTTTTTCAATTCAATAGGTATTTCTTAATTATTAAAACGAAACTTCATAAACATTTTATTATTACAATTTTTTAAATTATTATGATAAATTTATATCATGTTATAGTTACGCTGTTATAGTTGTAATTGAATATTCTTTTATCATATAGATGACAAAAAATTCATCTTTTTATTTCTGATTACACACACATACACACACACATGTTTGTAAACTTTAATTCACATTGAATTATATCACATTGTATTATTTTATATAAGTTACTACACCATCAAATTTTAAGTCTAACTTATGTATTATGCTATTCTTATTTTGTACATAAGATTACTACTTAGTATGTACATTGATTATTTCCTTAATTAAAACTTGTATGCAACTCACTTTTGAGCCTTATTTACAAATTTTCCCTGCTTGCCCTCCTAATTGCAACCTTGTATTTGCTATTGCTAACTTTACCATGGTTTGGTTATTCACCTGTTATTTTTTCAAGTTGTGTAATGTAACTATTCTAACAAAGAAAAGTAGATCTACATACAGTTTCTATAGTAGAACGTTACAATTCTTTTTAATTATGTTCGCAAGCAAATAAAATTCGTATTACCTTATAATAATCTCTCTTTTCACTTTACCAAATGATATATTAAGTTACTAGGAATCAATGCAGTTCTGGTTGTAGTTAAAAATTAATAAACATATCTACCATGAAATTGCTTAGCTTAACAAGCTGATCTTTTCTTCAAACATCTTCAATTACTATTTCTCTGGCAATTGATTTATTTCTTTGCTTTAGATTGGTGATTTGGTATAATTTCGACTGCCCCATTTTTTTTTTCTTTCTGTTCTCAATCATTATCTTAAATGCAGCGATCGTCTATATGTGCCCTTCTAGTGGGGGTGCTTCAAAGGGATAACCGGAACGTTAAATCGGATCTCCTGTGTATTCATTCCTCAGGCTGTAGACAAACGTGTGGTTGTACCTGCTCCTGTAAATCCTGGAGGCACGGTAAAACTTATACCGTCGACACAAGCTACAGGAAAGCTTGGTTTTCATGTTGGCTCTGGTTCGGCGATTCAAGCATCCGGTATGCTGCCCTCGAAAAAGCCACCAGTATCTCGCGGTGTTCCTCCTCCAGTGCCGCCAAATAAGCCGGTAGTACCACCTAAAAAGGAGGCTGCTTATATTAGAAGGACTGAGTCTCAAGCAACACAGGACGCCGTAAAACTTGGTAAACAAGCTGCGGCGCATCCTACTAGTGGACCTACCGCTCCGCAAGTCCAACAGGCAATAGGAGCTTTTACTCAAGCCTCCGATGAAGAGGTTAGTAATAAAGCTCCTCTGCCTTTCTCATCCGATTAATACGGATGAACAACTTCAACTTCATTTCAAGTGCCAGCATCTTAAATGTTTCTATGTTCTTATCTCCTGATATATTCTTTCCTCTTTGTCAATGACTTTAGAAGTCTCATCGGGTGCTCAAGAAAGCTACTTATTTGCACAAGTTGCAAACACGTTGCTATATTTTCTATTTAGGAGGAACTTTATAAATAATTATGATTGAACGAAGCTACTGAATAAAAGGCCATTATTTCTCTTATTATACTTTTACTTTTTTTTATTATACTTTTATATCATTACGATATTTACGATATTTTACATTTTATTAAAATTTTATATATCTTGCAGAAGTTCGATTATTCTATACCATTCTATAGCTTCTCATGTTAATTAAATACTTATAAAATTATTAAATTATTTTTCCCTTATCCCGAATCATTTTCATTGCGTAATTTTTTAACGAGCACGTCCTATTCTTCCTGTTTTCTTATGTTACGTTAATTGGTTCTTAAATAAAAGTTATTAATGTTGCCTGTAAATTATGGGAGGTTTTTGGTAACGAGAATGTTCTTTTGAAACTTGCTGCACGATTAACTTCCTTGAGTATCCGATGAATCGATATTGTTCTTCTATATGATCCTTTTTATACGTGAACGCAATTCAGAACTCGTGAATATGATTTCAGACAAAGCCACGTTGATTTAACGGCGGGTACAAAAAAAAAGTAAGCATTATTAACGTTTAAGAAAGTCTGAAAGCCGTGTTACACGAATAAAACTTGGGGTAGTATGTTTGGAACTACGCAACGCGGGATTCCATTAAGCAACGTTTCTGAATCAACGAAAAGAAACGTTAGTGCTCGAACTACTTGTTCATCGATTGATTATACATCGCGTACCATAAGATATCATTACTTGTATTGTTAGATCTCGCCATTGGACGGATCTATGGATCCATAGCGATACATCACCACAACCAACCAAGAATCATGCTTGTAACATTGTACTATAGTCGAATTGAATCAATCGAAGAAACGGGATTATTTGAACTATTTAAGGTAGACTCTGTAGATTCTGTAGTTTATTATCCGCGATCTTTCCGAATTACACTAAAAGTCATTAGATAAAATTAGTATCGTTGTAACGTGCTATTCGTAAGAAAGAACGATACTGTTATTAACAGTGGACGTGAATAATAAATGTTTATGCAACAGGGAGCTAGACCATGTAATATGTTAATAAAAGAAATACTTTTAGGTAGGGAAAGATATGGAAGGGTTATTTCACGTTAAATCATCCAATTGCCAAATTTCCATCGAAGATATCCTTTATTTTTTTTCTAAACACGATTACTTCATTGGATAAAAATGATTATACACTGAGAATATGAACTTGCCTTTTGCAGGAACAAGGAAGATTTTAACGATATTTTATTGATATTTACCATGATTTTCATAATTTTTAAAATACAGTTTAAGCAACTTTTAATAAATATATACAAGAATATTGTTAAAAATTTCTTGAAACAATTGATCGACTTGACGTGAGATGACTCAACAGTATATGCTATAATCACTGCCTTGCCTGACGTAATTGCGTGCATCGTCAATATACCGATGATGTTACGCCTTGGACGAAAGCATTTTGAACGAATTTATTCGAGACAAGCAGCTAAAACAGGAATAAGTCTGGAAGTGGTTCTTATGGTGAACTTGTTGATTTGCTCCGGGACAGGTATTTGAGGAGTTACGAAGGGAAATCAACTGAACCGTTATCGTTTTGACAATACCTATATGCAAAGTAGTATTATTCGAAGTCCACGCGACCATCATATCCATGTTGAGATTTCTTCAGATATCACGACTGTCGATAATTGATCGCAAATCAAAGAAACACAGGAGGCAATTTATTTTCTATGTGTTTCTATGAACGTGATCGTTTGATTTGAGAGAAAATTTCCAATGATTCAGGCCAGTCGCGCAATCATGAATGTTAAACAATAGTAATATCAATGATCTTATTGATCCACAGTGTTCCGTAAGATGTATCTTATCAGGTGGAACGAGCGATTTCTGAATCAAAAATAAAAGCAGAAATATTCTCAGTATCTTCGTATGACGCTTGTTTATTAATTTTTCTATTTATTAAACGCGTAAATGAAATAAATTCGAATGTCTCTATTACGCGCATATACGCGTCGTTCGTCGTAAATCTTTTAAAAAGATTCCAAGCGTACGTACGAGGCTATTAAGAATAATTTTCGGCTGTAAAAATCCTTTACCTGCCGAGCTCGGTACATCTTACGAAATCTCTGTACAAATTTCGTTCCCACAATACAGAGTTTATAACAAGGACATGAATAAAATTATTCGTTTGTACACAGTTTCTCTTGTATAAATTATAAATGGATGGAATTACGTTCTCATAAACGTATGAAAGATGTACACGTATAAACACGCATACACTGTTACATATTCACTTACACACTCGTTCACTCACACACTCCTGTCGACAGATACAGGCGCACACATACATACATAGAAGAAGAAAAAACGATGTATCGGAGTTATTTAAAGATGTATCTCACTTTCCTTTCGTTATACTTTACATGCGACCGTGATTTCATAAAACGTGTGAAAATATTCAGTGCGCGCGCGCGCGTCGATTGTCTTTAGTGTGCGAGTTCTTTTTTTTCTCTTTTTAAAGAACACAGATATTTGTCCGGTGCTAGCTACAATATTTCATTTTTTTCTCTTTCTCTTTTTTCTTTTTTCTTTTTGAGAATGTTCCAGTCAAATGCATAAATATTATGCTGCATTTCGTAAGGAACACGCGCAATCTCCCTAGTTTCTTCATACTTTGGGAATACCTAACAACGATTTATTCAAGATGAAAGATTCGTGCAAAGAGAAGGACAAAAAAAAAAAGAAAAAGAAGATGTTCGTCAAGCAGAATGAATATTAAAGAAGCGAAAGAAACCTCTTTTAACTTCACCCGCTCGAGTTCTGTTTAATTCGCTAAGGGAAGGATGCGAGAAATATAAAATATTTGTTCGTTTATACATTTAGAAATTCATTGCCTGTAGCTGTTGTTTCTTTCCGATGTCACTTGAGAAGTTTCCATCTGTTGCGTAATCGTACCGTCGTGCATCCTATTCACTTTCTTCGGAGTTAACGAAAAGTCTGTTTAACGAGAGATGTAATCTCGATCGAAGTTTCTCGATTTCACGGGAAAAATTTCTAGAGGATCTCGATAAAAACACAGCGATATAAGCAGCTATACGGATAACAAAAGGGGGAGAAAGAAGAAAACTTGGGTAATCGGCGATACGTTGAAATCTCGCGGGACGGTGTGATTAAAAAAAAACACAGAAAATGAGAAACCGGAGGGTAATTAAAACGGGCTACATTAAAACAGGTATAAATTCTTGGGGATGAAGTAGAGGATTTTTTTCAGGATAAGAGAAGGTCGAGACGCGAAGGAAAACGCTTTAGAGCGGCGCGTTGCGACACGAGTCGTAATAAAGAGCGAAGCGAGAGAAGAGCGAGAGTGAAGCGTAAAAAAGAGGAGAGCGAATTAAAAAGGGGGAAGACGATGATTACGCGAAGATGTAGGAGCAACTCAACAGAAGCTACACAGCCATACACGTTATACGTATACGCTTGATGTGATACCATACATCTACTACAAGTACTACATATCTACTTACACGCAAACGTGAGAGTTAGAATCTGTGCAAGGTGTAAATGTATCTGAGGAACGAAGAAAAGAGAAAGCATTACAGATAACATCGGGTCACATAGGAAGAAGATGACCAAGGAGCGCGCGAGGGTTACAGGAAATGCGAGCAGAAGGAGATAGACAGAGGAAGCCGGAGGAGGACCTAGAGAGAAGGTGAGAGTGGGTGTGAGGTTGTTCTCTTCTGGTAAGGATGGTAAAAGGTAAGCAGCGCGTATAGCGCGTGCGCTCGCCGGCTAGGTTGTCCGATACACCTAGTACACGCACACGTACACATACTGACACATATATACGTATGGGGTCGTCTATGCAAGGGAGTTAGGAGACGAAGAGAGCGCGAGAGGTTAACATCAGAGGGAGGATCGCAAACTCGAACGAGGAAGCGAGGAAGCGAGAAAGCGAGGAAGTGAGCGGGGCGAGCGTAAGCGAGATGGGATAACAGCTGGAAACGTGAATGGAAAGAGTGGAATAGAGATAGCGAGCCGTGACAGTCGATGGACAAAGAAGCGAGGATTCGCGAGATCCTTGCGCGGTATGAGGTTTGCATGCCTAGCGGACGGCTCCTCAGTATCGTCCTACGTTTCGTTCGCGACGCGCACCCTTCAACTTGGTCCTGGTCCGCGCGTCATCCAACTTGTTTGATGTACACCGATTACTCTGGAGTACCGGTGGTACTATTGTTGCTCGTACGACTCTGTTCTTCGTTGTTGGCGGGACATCGCCGTATTTTTTATTTTCTATTTTTCGTATTTCGATCAGTGATACGATTCTAAAAGCGGGAGCGAAAGTATCAAACGTTTTGCCCCGTGTCACCGGGTGATGTGTGCCGTTTATCGTATCCTCGAGCCGTTTCCGTAGGAATACGAGCAAAGTGATTCGCAAGGGTGACAGAAGAGAGATATTGGATGTTACGCACGTACGTACGTATGTATAATGTTGATTGACGATAAATCGTTCGGCATTGATTCTATTTGTTGTGATTCGCCGCGCGTTGCAATAAACGTGGGAGATTGTGCTTTCACACTATTTCTTGAGAAACCGTAGAAAACGTGCGATGTTGATGAATGAGACTAGCGGTAACTTTTTCTGTTTCGTCATTTCTTAGAAATGTTCTTTAGCTATATATACGTAGGATAAGATAACTCGTTAATGTTTTACGTATTGTTTACGTTTACGCTTCTGAATTAGGAGGTAAGAAGTGATATGATTTAGATGGTGATAATAAATGATAAGTACAATCGTAGCAAACTATTACTGATCATACCTGATACAAATAGATTGTTCTGTAATTTATGTATGTACAGCAGATGTATTTGTATAGACAATATCGAGATTGTTTTATTGAAGTATAGCGTCTACTCTGTATCGAGTTTTTATTCGTCGCATCTATGACTGGTTTATCACCTCGTAGAATATTTTAACATTGGTTACTGTTCTCATCGATCATATCTTTTAATCGATCCGCTCCATAGACCCTTGTCCGATTTAACTTTCATTTTGCGAGAGCAGTAAATGAATATTATGTGT